TTGGGTGACTCAGCCTTTGCTGACGTCTCTGCTGCAAATTCCTGAGAGACCCTGAGCCAGAACCACCCGGCCAGGCTGCTCCTGGCTTCCTGACACACAGAGACCACGAGATCATAAATGTTTGTTGTTTTATGTCTCTGGGCTTTGGGATGATTTGTTACACGGAGCTTGGTAACGAATACATTAGCTGTGTGACGTTGGGCAAGTGCCCCAGCCTCAGAGCCAGGGTTTTCTCCCTAGTGCCCTGAGGGTTTGAGAAATGAGTGAGAAATGGGTGAAATAGCACGGGCCATGGGAGGCACAGGGCCCAGTTTGCATTGGGGGCTCCTCCCACCCCAGGCCGTGTACACAGGCAGCCTTCCAGCCCCCCCTCCCCCCAGGATGATAACGGGCATTCTCCTGCTCCTCCTTGGGTGCAACATGACCTCACAGTGTCAAGCCAGACATTGCATTCTTGGCCTCGGGTCACCCTTCCACCTGGCACAGAGGCACTAGGCAGGGAAGGGAGAGGTGAGAGCCACGGGCTGTCCCTCTCCTTTCTCCAGCCCGAGTGCCAGCGAACTCTGTGGGGCCAGGTGAGTCCATCCCACCTGTCCCGGGATGGGCAGCCACATCTGACCCATGGAGGGGGTGCCCTGCCTCTCCCTGGGTAGAGAGGGGTGGCCTGGCCTGGCCTTGGCTTGCACACTGGCTGCCATTGAGGCCGACAAGAACTGACCACTGTCCTTGGTTCCTCTTTCCACTGCTCCTCCCTGCCCTGCCCCTCTCCCCTCATCCCTCCCCCCGAGGCCAGCAAGGGTGCCTGTTCCACCTGCTGCTCCAGTGGGCTCTAGCTTCTCCACGTCCTTCTCCCTCAAGGTTTCCCCCCTCCCTGTTTCTTTTTGAATTGCCGAAGAACTACATGGTTGTGCTTCGGTGTGAGCGACTCTAACTAAAAAAAAAAAAAAGGTAAAGTCCTCGGTTCCTATTCCGTGACTTGCTTCTCTGCCTTTGTGCTCTCAGTTAGACCTTCCTTCTTTTGTTTCCTGTAGGTGCATCGAATTCTCCAGGATGAACGTCCCATAATTTATTTTACCATTCTCTCGTTGATGAGTGTTTTGGCTCTTTTTCCTTTCTCTTTTCGCTTTCTGTTAAAACTGTGCTGTCGCAAACAGCCTCGCACAGTTTTATGTTCGTGAGAGCTGCTTAGAATCTCCAGGGAGAAGATACATCCATTTTGTTCATTTTTATTTGCATCAATGTTTAAGAGGCCAGTTCTTTTTTTTTTTTTTAATGTTTATTTATTTTTGAGGGAGAGAGAGAGCAAGCACCCAAGCAGGGGAGAGGGGCAAAGGGGGTGTGGGGAGAGACAGACAGAGACTGAGAGAGAATTCCAGGCACCAGGCTCCGTGTCCAGAGCAGAGCCCGATGCAGGGCTCAGTTCCACAGCCCTGGGATAATGACCTGAGCCTCAATCAAGAGTCAGACGCTCAACTGACCTAGCCACCCAGGTGCCCCAAGAGACCAGAGAGTTCCAAACAGGCTGGTAATAAACAACAGCAGCCCCTGCCTCCCTTCCCTCTACTTACCTCCCGCTTAGCAGGCTTTAAATGTGGTTCCTGATGTTTAGGTCCATCTTTTTATGTCTTTTTTGTTTGTTTGTTTATCCACTGAGAGAGAGAGAGAACATGCACACGCCAGGGGGAAGGGGCAGAGAGAGGGAGGAGACAGAATCCCAAGCAGGTTCTGAGCTGTCAGAACAGAGCCCTATGTGGGGCTTGAACTCATGAACCGTGAGATCGTGACCTGAGGTGAAATCAAAAGTTGGATGCTCAGCTGACTGAGCCACCCAGGCTCCCCTCTACTTTGTGTCTTGACTCCTCATGTACAGTCACTGTCTGTTGATTTTCTGTTACAAGAGGTGAGGATTCAGCTCTCTTGGGCCCCCGTTCCTCTCTGGGTCCCTTCAAGGCAGAGGACGATGGTAGTTGTGGGTTCAATCAGCGTGTCTGTCCTGTGGCTGTAAATGTGCTTGTTCCCCTTCCTACCCTGGGGATTCTCCTCGTTATCCTTTTAAAATCGCACCTCTTCCCCAGGCACTCCTGAGTCCCCGCTGATTTTCTTTCTCCCCCTGGCACTTACTATCTTCTAACATGTCATAAGACTTGCTTGTTTGATGGTCTCTCCTGCCCTGCCCACCCCCCACCCCCAGTGGCATCTAAGTCCCACTAGAAGAGAGATTTTGTTTTGTTCACTGGTCTAGCTCAGTGCTTGGGATGGAGGGAGACTCAGTGCGTCCTTGCTGGACGGACAGATCCTGTGACTTCCCTCCACCACCCTCCTGTGTGTTTTGTTTTCTTCCTGTTTCCCGGATCTCACGTCGTCTTGGTTTACCCCGTCATTTGGTGGAGGACATTGGTCAGTAACGTTCTGGGAAAGGTCGCTCCTGATGTGTATTCTTTAGACTCTAAAGCTGCGTATTTATCTACAATTGCATTTAATGTATAGTCTGGCAAATTTCACATGGAAGATGGTAACAAATACTGAGTGTCTCACAGAGTTGTGATGAGAATTTAGTAACGTAGGTCTTGTAAAATGGTTAGCATTCTCTGAGGATACGTTACTATTACTTTGTGAGGACTAAAATACAAAAGAAGGGTTTGTTGGGAGGCAGTTGAGTGCAGTGGCCAAGAGCGAGGCAGTGGTACTGGGCAGGGCTGGTTTGGAGTTCTGTGCTTGGTGACCTAGAACCTTTATGACTGAGAGTAGGCAAGGCCCTGAAGCCTCAGTTTCCTCAAGTACAAGATGGAAATGGTCATAGTACTCACTGCTCATGGCGCTGTTGTGGGTAAAATCAGATATACTGCTTTTTTTTTTTTTTTTTTTTTTAATTTATAGGAGAGAGAGAGACAGCATGAGCAGGGGAGGGTCAGAGAGAGAGGGAGTCACAGACTCTGAAACAGGCTCCAGGCTCTGAGCTGGCAGTCAGCACAGAGCCCGACGCGGGGCTCGAACCCACGAACCGCGAGATCATGACCTAAGCAAAAGTCGGACGCTTAACCGACTAAGCCACCCAGGCGCCCCTAGGCACTAAGGATTCTGACGTAGGAGAATGTTCCCAGTGTTCTCAAGGGCTGAATGTGGCTTGCTTTGGTGGCAAAAGCTGGTACCTGTCTTGACCTTGTCTTTGTGTTCACTGAGGGTTAGTGTCTGGAGTGGGGTAAGCAACTGGAAAATTTGCAGCATGTATCAAAAGTCCTGAGAGGGATCCCCATATTTTGACCCAGCAATTTCACCTGCTAAGAATTTATCCTAAGGAAATCAATAAAGGTGTGCTTGACTTGAAGTGCAGGGCTTTGTCTATGAGGAAGAAGTCCGGGAACCACTTCAGTGTCAGTCGGCAGGGAACTTGATCGATGCATGGATCTAGAAACTATAGGCTTCCTCCAGCTGAGTCCTCTGCAGCCCTTACGACTGGGGAAGATGGCAGCCAGGTGTCAGGAGAGCTGTACAGGATACAGGATGAGACAGCGTCATGTGACAAAAGTATCAAAACTCCATAAGCCCTTTTGGGGAGTAGAAGTTACATTTACTTTCTTTAAGGTACATAAATGTACAGAAGACTGGAAATTTGGACAAGCAGAGGCTGTACAGTCTAATGGTCAAAGCATAGTCTCTGGAATATGGGTATCAAGGCCCTGGCTGTGGCACTATAAGACGTAGGGCTAGTTTCAGAACCGCAGTATGCCTCAGTTTCCTCATCTGAAAAGTGGGGCACTACTAGCAAGGATGCTTGTTTAGAGATTAGGCATGAAAATTCCTTCCTAAGAGTGAGTGCTGGGTCAACGTTAGCAGCAATCACTGCTATTCAAGAATTAATTCTAGTTAGTGGGATTATGGATTAATTTATCTAGTCTCTGTACTACATTATTTTTTTAAAAAATAAACGTGTTTCTTTTGGAAGTAGAAAGTTTTTTATTTTAATTAAATATTTTTAATGTTTATTTTCGAGAGGGAGAGAGCAAGCGGGGGAGGGGCAGAGAGAGGAAGAGAGAGTGAATCTGAAGCAGGCTTGGAGTTATGAGTGATGCTGGGCTCAAACCCATGAACTGTGAGATCATGACCTGAGCTTAAGTCAGGCGCCCCGAAAAAGAAGGTTATTTAAAAGTATGCAACCTGGAGGTAACAAAGATGATTCTGATTTTTTTAAAGGCAGCATGGTCACAACACAACAATGTGGTTGTACTGTGTGTCACTGAACTGTGCACATGGCATGTGTTCCAATAGTTAAGGTGTTAAATTTTATGTATATTTTGCCACAACTAAAAAAACCCCAACAATAACACCATCATCATTAATAACTACAAAAATATTCAACATCATCATCATCATTAACAATAACAACTACCCCCCCCCCCCCAAAAAAAAACAGCATAAGCAAAGAAGTTCTGAAGGTGTCCCTGGGACTATTAGCAGTGATGCGATGGGGCTGTTTTCTTCCAAATTTATATTTGATTTTGCAGCCCAGATTTCCCTCTTGAACACTTCTCTGTTTTGTAGCCAGCAAAATTGCGTCTCTCGGTGTTAATGCAGAGCCCAGCTCCCGGTCGGAGCCACGCGTCCGAACCCAGCCCCGTCGCCGCCTTGGGCGTGACCTTGGCCAGCTTGGGTTGGGGGGCGGGGGACCCTGCGAGCCTCAGTTTCCCCCTGTGGGAGCCAGGGATGACAGCTCACTCCCTTTCCCGCGCGGCCCCGCCCCACGGCCCCTGGATTGGCTCGCACGGGTCCCCCCCGCGGCCGAGACTGGGCCGAACCTCTCCCGCCCGCCGGGCCCCAACCCGGAAATGCGGCTCCGGGACGCCGGCGGGGCTGGCCAACCCGCGGCGGAGCGACGGCGGGCTCGGCCAATGGGCGCAGGAGGTGGTGGCGGCGGGACGGCGGAAGTCCCGCCCAACGTCGCGCGGGGGCGGGGCGGCGCCGGGGGCGGCGGGTGGCGGGGCGGGCGCAGGATGAGGGCGGCCATTGCTGGGGCTCCGCCGCGGGGAGGAGGACGCTGAGGAGGCGCGGAGTCGCGCAGCGCTGCGGGGGAGGCGCCCGCGCCGACGCGGGGCCCATGGCCAGGACCACCAGCCAGCTGGTGAGTGCGCGCCGACCGCTCGGGCGCGCCGGCCCGTCACCCGGCCAAGCGCGGCGGCCGCCGGGCCCCGGTGAGGCGGGGCGGCCCCGGTCCCCAGGGCCGGGCGGCGCCTCACCTGCGTCCGGGCGTCCGGGCAGGGGACCGCGGGCTTCGTGAGGGCGCTGCTCGGCCGCCGCGGGGAGCGCGGGCCCCGCCGCGGCGGGTCCCTGCCCGGCGGGGGCGCTGACAGACGCGCGGAGGGCGGGGGAGGCCGGGGAGGTGTCACCGGCCTGTCGCGGTGGAAGTGCTTGGAAAGTTTGTTTTCGGCGCGCGCGGCCTGGAGCCGAGCCTTTGGGGTTACCTTTCGTTCCGTCTGCGGGAGGAGCCGCCCTGGGCCTTCACCTGGAAGGGGGTCCCAGTGCCTCTGCTGCAGCGAAGCAGGAGGTACGAGTTCTGGCCCGGAGCACCTGATGCTCCAGGCCCCCCGAATGGACGCTTAGGACGGAATCTGATAGACTGCTGTCCCGGCGCGGCCGAGCGGCCAGGGCTGCTGCTCCTGCCTCGGGGCTCTTCTCCGGCACCGGCATCGAGTGTGGGAAGCCCCGGGGAGGCCTGACTTGAACCTGCTACCGGGGGAGCAGGGGTGCTGGGGGGGAGCGAGGGATCCTGACCGGGAGGAGGGGTTTCAGGGGGACAAAAAGGAAAAGCACTTGTTGGGTTGAATGTTTTGCTTAAAAGTATCGCTAGTGTTTCTACGGTTTTTTTTTTTCTTCTCTCTGTTGCTAAAAGTATCTTTAGTGTTTTGATGTTTTGCGCGTGTTTGAGTTGGGGAGTCGCGAAGGTGGCTTAACGATTTATACCTTGGGCGCGACTGAGACGTGGGTGCGAAATTTGCTTCCAAAGGCAAAGGAAAATCGCCTAAATGAAAGAAGACCCAGAAAATGGACCTGCCTCCATATTTAGCAGCGTGCAGCTTTGTGGTAGCCGTTATCAATATATTTTTTCTTTGGATCGGGGGTGTCTTGTACCCCTTTGAGAATCTGATGGAAGGAATAAATCCGCTCTTGAGATTAAAACACAGAGCGGCTCCGCATTTTGTCGTTACCTCCACTGGGTCATGAACCTTCTGCGGCTCCTCAGTGGACTTCAGGTTAAGGACTCTGTGACGCTCCTGAGTCGCAGAGGAGGACCTGTTCAGTTGAGAAAATGGTGAAAGGGAAAGGGGCCGTCTTTGACTGTTGCGACATGTGACTGTACCCTGGGGTGTCTGGGCTGACAGGCGAAAACACGAAATTGGCTTCTTGGCGAGCCTCAGTGGAGGCCGGGGGTGAGCGTGATCCCGGGAAGCCTGTGAAACGAACTTTCTTAGGGCGGTGCTGTTGCTGCAAGGTGCGCCCTTTGGAGTCGTCGGAAGAGGCAGAGCGCAGGTTGCCTTGCCGACTTGGCCGTTCCACACGGTGGACATTTGACATCGGGGATTTTCTTTGCGTAAGCCACCTTTTTAGCGCAAAATTGCTGGCGTCTATTGAGAGAAAATGAATCTCGGTGTAACGGAGAGACCTCCCTGTCAGGAAACGAGAGGAACAAGGCTTTTGCGTCCTCAGCTGGATCCTCCCCCCCCAACCCTATGAGGATGGGCCGCATTTCCCCTCAGTGACCGCGCAGATGCCCCCAGTATTGGCTTTTTCAGCTGAGGACAGCCAGGGTTGGTGGTGGGGGTGAGTTTGTGGGTGGCACTATGGAGAGGAGTCCCTGTCCCAGCTATGGATTGCACCCCTTCTCTACGTGTGTGCAGCCAGCAGCTGAGCAGCACAAGGAGGTCTGCACTTGGCCTTTCCCCGCTTTGCCCCTCCGGTGGCCACAGGCTGTAGATACTATTTATTGAGCACCTACTTAGTTTTTTTAAATTTTTATCTTTTTTTTTTTTTTTTGGAGAGTGGCAAGGGGCAGAGAGAGAGGGAGGGAGAGAATCCCAAGCAGCCCCGTGCTCTAACTCACAAACTGTGAAATCCTGACCAAACCATGAGATCACGACCGGAGCTGAAATCAAGAGCGGATGCTTAACAGACTGAGCCACCCAGGGGCCCCTGTTGAGCACTCACTTTAAAAGCAGACACTTTTCCGGATCGCTCACCCCGTGTTGCTTGATTTCTGTGTAGATAGTGTTGTGTGAGTTGGTGTCGTTCTCATTTTACAGGTATGGAGACTGGGATGCAGGGAGGTTAAGTATCTGCCTGGTAAACGGAGTGCAGTGTGAACCCCCGACTGGGCCGTGGCAGAGGCATGGCCACTCTCTGTCCTGTCGCATGGGGAGGGCCCCGAGGGCCGGCCTGCCGGGCAGCTCAGGCACCGCTTGGCTTGAGGAAGTCCTTGGTGCCACTGTCCAGAACGGCTTCCCTGGGGTCGGGCCTGAATGTCCTGACTGTGCCGTGCCAGAGGCAGGGGGACATCTTCACGTGGAAGGACAGCACGCTTGCTTACTTCGTGGGGCAGATGGCTGAACTCTGTGACCCCAGGAGCCTGTTTCAGCCGCACGCTGTCAGAAAGCAGCTGTTTGGAAAGAGGCTCCACTTCATCTCTCTTTGAGGGCCGATATTCTGAATGGGTGAGGCTTGGAATCCTCCCTTTGGGAGGCCAGAGCTGTGGGGATTTGCTAAAGGTGAAGCGGGAGAAGGCAGGCGGTTCCCTGCACACTTCAGGTAGGGTGGCTCTAGCTTTGGCAAGCGTGGCTGCACCTGTGTGGGAAGGTGGTTGGAAAAGTGGGGGACATGAGAAGTGGGTTCTGATTTCCACACTCCTTTTTGGGTAGCTCCTCCTCATGTGGTCTTGGATGGTGTGATGTATTTCTGTCCCTGTGACGCCCCTGCAGAGCTGGGAGGGTGAGGTCCTCATACTAAGAGGTGGCGGTGTGGGTTTGTTCTCTTCTGACAGTGTTTTGTGGGAAGGATTACAGCAGCAGCCTGTGTAGATGCGGGGCCTGAGCAGAAGCCTTGGGCAGCTTTTCAAAGCGGGCCTTGGCCTCTGGGCCGCCTTTAGCACAGTTTTGGGGAGGAAGAAAAGGCGGCTCCGGGGTGTGTCCTCCTTTCATTCTATGTCCTCATCCCCAGAGCCACTTGAGAGCCACTTGACGTGGAGTTTGGGTGCATGTGGGGCAAGGGTGTGGTGAACTGGGAATTGCTGCAGAAACGGGGTGAGCACGCTCAGTTCCTTCTGAGTTGGTAGTGTGGAGAATCCTCCCTAGTAGTATACTTTGACCTTTCCTGAGGAGAATGGCCTGTAAAAATGGACTTGGGTGGAAGCCCACGAGTGGCGGAGGAACACTTCATGCAGAAATGACTCCTTCAGCAGGTGTGAGGGCTAGGGACGTGTGCATGCTCCGTGCCTGCCCTTTTGACGATAGCCGGCCATAGAGGTAAGGAGTGCAGTTGTTTTGGGTTTGAAGGCAGGTTCAAAGGTCAAATCACGGGGGAGGAAGTGCTGGTGTGGAAACCGTTAAGTTTTGGACATGTATCATTCAAGCCTTTTTAGTAGTGTGTTCCTCTGTAACTGGGTCGCGTTTTATACCGGACTCTTTAAAAAATAACTTGAATATTGAGAACCAGTTTTGTATTCAGTCTCTAGCTGAATCAATAGGCAGAGTGCTTCTTTCCTTTCCTTTTTATTTATTTTTGAGAGAGAGAGGAGAGTGAGAGAGAGAGAAGCACACGTGTGCATGTGTGTAGGGAGGGGATAGAGAGTTTGGGAGACGGAATCCCAGGCAGGCTCCTTGCTGCAAGTACAGAGCCCAGTGTGGGGTTTGAACCCACAAACCGTGAGATTATGATGAGCTGAAATCATGCTTAGCTGACTGAGCCATCCAGGCTTCCCAGAGTGTGTGTTTTCAGGAGTGATGGGGAGTATGTTCTACTGATAGTGTATTGGATATGAAAGACCTTTTGCGTTCGTGATAGTTTTTGAGGATCTGTTTTCAGTGCTTGACTGGTTGCATTTATGTAGTTGCACAGAGTCTGTTTCCATCCTCTTAGTCTGGAAATTTTTCGTTATTTAAACTAAAATTTTTACCCCCAAGACATTCCAAGTTCTTTTGAAAGTCTTAAGAGAGTTTGCTATAAAGGATTTACATTTGTGGGTTTCAAATCCCTCATCAGAGGAACTGATTCAGGTTTCTGTGTAAATAGTGGGACTGCACATGGGGCCACAGGAGAGCTGATGGCCCGGCAAGCTCAGCACGTGGAAAAGGCAGCCACATCCTCCGTCAGCAGCCCCTGCCTGGACACACGGCCCACAGAGCAGACAAGTACGGTTTGCATTTGGAGTGTGGCCCAGGGGCCTGATGAAGGTGGGCACATAGTTCCTGGTGGCCTAGTGCCCTCCTCTATCCCACAGATGGGATCAGGTGTCCTCTGCACCAGCCACTGTGCTTTGAATCAGCTTGCAGCCTTCAGGGAATGGAAATATTTAAAGGCATGTGTGAAGGTGTCTGGATGCCAAGGAGGGTCGTTCTGGAGGTGTGTGCCTTCTGCATATTGGTGGTGCTGGTGGTGGCAGGTCTGCCTGTGCTGGAGAAGGCTGGAGAGGCCGCGTGCAGGCAGCTGCTTGTGTGTGTGTGTGTGTGTGTGTGTGTGTGTGTGTGTGTGTACGGGCGCGTGCGCATCCATGTGTGCATTTCGGCAGTATCTCAGTTAGAATTCATCCGGCTGAAGCTTAGCTGTTACAATGAAATCATTGTTAAAGTCTCATTCTTCAACCTGTTTTTCTCTTTTGGAATTAATTGTACTGGAGTGGGAGTTGTATCTCAAAGCGACAGCTGTATATCGGATGCTGTCAGAGAAGGCTGATAAGATTTGCAGGGAAGCTTGAAGCCTTACAGAAAATCTTGTTTTGCCCTTTGACCTGCAGTGGTACCTGTGGGAAAAAGGACCTGGAGTTAACTTTTCTGCTCTCCCTCCCCGTTTCTGAGTAACCGGGAGGACGGGACCTGCAGTGGACCTGGGAACTGCACCACCCAGGAGGAGAAGTTT